GAGTCAACCCGCCGCCCGGCAAAGAAGAGGTGCCCGCGCCGTGTGGGATGCGTGGACGAGACCAAGCCTCGCCGGGCGCTCGTAGCGGCCCCGGGGCTGGCGCGGCCTCTCCGGCGCCTGGAGGCCCAGGATCCGAAGTCCCCGGTCCGGACTCCCGGGGCCCCTCCGGCTGCGGCGCCGGCGGCCGCCCCGTCCTGGGGCAGGGCCCCGCGAGCCGGGCCTCTGGTCGGTGCGGGGCCCGAAGGCGTCCCCGCGAGGGCAGGCGGGCTGGTGCCGGCGGACCGGGCTGGAGCTCGGGGTTCCCGGGGACGGGCGTGTTGAGCGGGAGTTGAGCTTCGGGTGCGGCCCCCCCGGAGCGGGGAGCGTTGGGACCCGCAGAGCGAGCCTCGGGATCCACACCTACGGGCGCACCGGGAGGTTTCAGAACTGGAACATTTTACATCCTGTTGGAAGGGAAGTCGTTTTCGGCATGTTTGGCAGAAATGTGCTTGGGTCCCGTTGATGTCTGGTCACCTTGCGATGCAGGACGACCTTGAGAGTTGCTCGTCTCTGGGTTTTGTCGGATGAGTTTCCTGAATTAACCAGACGCGCAGGGGTTTAACATCTGGGAGCTACGTGAGTCCGCCCCTTCGCCGGCTCACGGTGGCCTCTGTCTGTCCCCCCAGCACCTGCGCCATGCTGGCCGCCAGGCTCGCGTGTCTCCGGACGCTGCCGCCCAGGGCCTTCCGCCAGGGCCTGCCCACCAAGGCCGCCCCCGGGCTGCGGGGCCCCGGCGGGCAGGGCCCGTGGCCCTCCGCCCCCGGCCGGGTAAGGACCGCCCCGCCCCGCCGCCAGGCATTTCCCGGAGCAGTTGCCTGAGGAAGCCCCGGATTCGCGCTTCCTCCCATTAGTGTTGTGTCTTTTTGTTCCATCTTCATCTCGTGTGAAAGAGAAAGGAACCGGACGCCTCCGTTTTTGCAGCTCTCGGTTTCTCATGGAAATCACCAGGGGGGATGGGAGCGATGGGGGAGCCGAGAGGAGGGACTTGCCGGGGACTAGCACCCGCTGCCAATCACGGACGAAATGTGTCATTCCAGCTTTTGTTAGGAAATAGTCAGCTGTCCCGTAAGAGAGAAAGCGATTTCCTTAGATGATAGATTCCTCCTGGCATTCAGAGAAGTATACAGAACCTAGAAGAGATTTACCTTTTCAATGGACCGTTTCACTGTTGAAAAGGAGCTAAAATGGAGGTAGTAGTCGTTCCTCCTTTTGGCTTTATGTTGAAAGAAACTTTCTTGAGCCCATTTTCCAGATTAAAAAAATGTAGCTAATAAAGTCTGTAGTTTATGAAATGTACATTCTAAAACTTAAACTAAGAAGTTGTTATAAAGAATTAGCAAGTCACTTTGAAGATAGAGCACAAATACAATAGGGTCTTCATTTAACATTTAAATTGGCTACCGTACTTTAATAGTGAAAGTACATGCATATAAAGCACCAACTTTATATGGAGGTTTCTAGTGTAACGAGATCCCTGTCTTATCGTTAACTTTCTGTTTTGTTGTGGGTGGTGTATGTCTTGTTTTCATGTGTATCAGGAATATGCCACCAAAACAAGAATTGGGATCCGGCGTGGGAAAACCGGACAAGAACTCAAGGAAGCAGCATTGGAACCGTCAATGGAAAAAATATTTAAAAGTAGGTGCCTGACCAGATCTTCATAAAAGCCTAGTGTTGAGGGAGGGTCCTATTAACTGGCTGCCCTAGAGGCCTCTCGGAAGCAGGACCTTCGGTTCACAGTTTGCAATTCAGCTTTGCAAGTTGAGAAACTAGATTGTTAATCTACCCAAAGCCAGCCCAGGCTCCTTAACCTTGCAAAATGTCCATCTATTATGCGGGAGACAGCCCTCATTGGTATCCCTTGGGGTATTTCTGGTCAGTAAATTGGCCCTAGAAACCAAATTATATGAATCCTATAGCCATGGAATAGTAACGTTTGTGAACAAATTTAGACTAAAGGGAGTAAGCTGGTCTTTATGAATACCTTTAACCAGTTAGAGTTAATAAATTGTTTCTTTCTTAGTATTAAAAGCAAAAGCACCCTCTCCCTTAATTGAGCGGCATAAGCATGGGTTATGTTTTTCTTTGATTCTTTTTTTCTTGACTCCATATAAAGCACCATCTTTGTTAAGTCACTGTAGACACAATGCGATCTAACTCTTAACATTTCTTTCTCATGTTTAAAATTATTTTATTGCTTGATAGATTTTAGAGAGAGAGGAAGGGGGAGAGAGAGGGGAAAAAAAAACATCTATTCTACTTTATATGCATTCATTGGTTGATTCTTGTATGTGCCCTGAACAAGGGTCGAACCCGAAACCTTGGAGTATCGGGATGACACTCTAACCAGCTGAGCTACCCAGCCAGGGCTCTTTCTCATCTTTGCTTTCTAATTGTCATGAGAACATACCCCAAACTCTTATGAGTAAAATAACGTATCACAGAAGTCTCCCCACATCTACAGATACACTGCCTCTAATTTTGTTGGAGTGAGATGAAAGTTTAACCAAGTCTGATCCTTTTTGTACTAATTATTACACCTATGTTTCAGCAGTGTTCTTACTAGTCCCCTAATTCTAAGGCCATTTCTATATATACTAATTATAGCTATTACAAAGAAGTGTGGTGTATAGTTTGATTTCCCTCATTTACTGTAAGTATGGGGAAGGGCTTACTGCCAGCATTTTAATTTAGTTAAAGCATGACGGTGTTAACCTGCATTTCCTCCTGTGTTCTGCAGTTGATCAGATGGGAAGATGGTTTATTGCTGGAGGGGCTGCTGTTGGCCTTGGTGCATTGTGCTACTATGGCTTGGGAATGTCTAATGAGATTGGAGCAATTGAAAAGGCTGTGTAAGTAAATTGTTCCCAAACAGTTCTAGCCTTAAAGCCTCCAATTTTCTTCTCATACTTACCTTTGGCCACTTTGGGAATGTTTTATGTCTAGTCTTCTTGTGTAGGAGAAAAATGAGTACAGATAGAATCTCTTGTTTCCATGACCTATTCAAACCTAAATAAACTTCTTTTTCCAAGGTTATATGTATTCAGGTAAGGAGAAAATGTGTCACTTTGTATATAAGCCAAATGCTTATGTCTTTTATTATTATGGTCGTGCTTATTTTTTAAAGCAGATTTATTAAGGCATAATTTATATAAGTTCACCCATTATGAGTATACAATTCAGTGATTCTTGAATGTATAGAGGTTCAGCTATCACCACAGCTGTTTTAGAACATTCCCATCACTTCGAAAAGATCCCTTATGCTTAATTGTAACCCTTCCATCCCCAGTCCCAGGAAACCATTAATCTTCTTTTTGCCTTTGTAGATTTACCTTTTTTGGACATGTAGTCAGAATAAAATCATGCTGTGTGTGGTCCTTTGGGCCTGGATTCTTTCACTTAGCACAATGTTTTTGAAGTTCAGCATTTTGTAGAATGCATATATCTCATTCTTTTTTGTGTGTTTTTTATTTTATTTTAATTTTTTCAAACCTTTCCATCACCATTTATCCCCTCTGTGCCCTCTTCCACCTCCACCCATTCTCCCCCGCCCCCTTATATGTCTTTTATCATTTACGTTTTACTTCAATGTATGCATCATTTCCATTCCAAATGAGGTGAATAAGATTTAGAGCAGTAACATATTTCCCAAGACCTCCCAGCTAATCTGATTCAACCAAAATTCACATTCAGAATCTTATAAATTAACTTTTTTTTTTTTTTTTTTTTACAGAATTTGGCCTCAGTATGTGAAGGATAGAATTCATTCTACCTACATGTACTTAGCAGGAAGCATTGGTTTAACAGCCTTGTCAGCCCTGGCAGTGAGCAGAACTCCTGTTCTCATGAACTTCATGATGAGAGGCTCTTGGGTGGTAAGTCAGCTTGTTTTTGTTTACCTTTTCTACTCCATATCAAAAGATTAGACAAAAAATACTGGGACGGGTGTTAAAGGGAAAGAATACCTTACTAAATTGAACAGGTTTTTGTTCAAATAATATATGAAATTAGTAGTGCAGCTGAGATAGAGTAAGAAGTACACAGTGAAGTACATCAGCTATTCTTTGTTGAATACGTATTTTATAGTGGCAAAGGGGTTGGAAACCAAACTTACAGGAATGTCCTACCTAGCAGCAGATACCAAACTGCCTGTATTTTGCATATCTTATAGCAATTTACTAAAATTAAGGGGGATTCCAGGTCAGTGGGAAATGCATATCACAAAAACCCTAACATTCTATACTATTAAAAGTAGAAAGTGCCACAACTATTCTGAGTTTTCTTGACCCTGTATAAGGAATATTGAATGAGTGTTTCTTGTGCATTTGTTATTTTACTAGATACCAAAAACTGATTTCAAGTGTGGTGACTATTTTTCTACTCTCTGGTTGAAGAAATAAACTAGAGTAAGTGGTAAAGAATATACAATAAGAAGTAGAAAGTTTAAAATCAGTGGAAAGATTATTTTTGTCTTGGACTAGTAGGGAAGTTCCATGAAGGACAGTTTTATCTCATCAGGGCCATTGAAGCCTGGCATTTCTTATTTTAGGAGAGTACAAGGGTAGTCCAAGTTTGCAAAACAGCTTGAGCAAAGAAAGCAGTCATTAAAAATGACTTTACAGTTCATTAGCATATTTGAGGGTTGGTGTGTGAAGAAGACAGAAAGGGGCTGTGTGATTGGCAAGCTGAGAGGAGTGCCTAAGCAGTGGGAGGCCATTACAGATAACTGGAACAGCAAGAGGCTGATGGTATTCGAGCATGGAGAACTAATGTGGAAGAGCTGGCGTACTAGCTCTGCCTTTGCAAGATCTGATGATAAGAGTGTGAACTAGAACAATGTGAGGCTGGACTGGAAGGGAAGATGGGAGAGTCTATGTCAGCCGTGGGCAAACTACGGCCCACGGGCCGGCCCGTTTGAAATGAATAAAACTAAAAAAAAAAAGACCGTACCCTTTTGTGTAATGATGTTTACTTTGAATTTATATTAGTTCACACAAACACTCCATTCATGCTTTTGTTCCGGCCCTCCGGTCCAGTTTAAGAACCCATTGTGGCCCTCGAGTCAAAAAGTTTGCCCACCCCTCGTCTATGTAATACTTAGAGATGTCCCATGGCAAACCATTCTCCACCGGTAGCCCAAATCCATCTAACCTCCAAATCTGTAATATTTCCACAACATTATACATTCCAAAAGGAGAAACACTTACAGTAGCACAGCCATGTGGACAGTCAGTATTCTTAGGATATTACTTCTCAGATGGGTGTCATGAATTGCCTAGCCCCGTGGTCGGCAAACTGCAGCTCGCGAGCCACATGCGGCTCTTTGGCCCCTTGAGTGTGGCTCATCCTAAGCCTTAGGAGTACCCTAATTAAGTTAATAACAATGTACCTACCTATATAGTTTAAGTTTAAAAAATTTGGCCCTCAAAAGAAATTTCAATCGTCATACTGTTGACTAATGAGTTTGCCGACCACTGGCCTACCCTACAGGTTCTAGAAAACAGAGAATAAGCATGTGCATTCTCACCAGGAATGTTAGTTTAATCAGTAGTACGTAATTTACAATAGTACCTTTTGTAATTAAGCAAGCATGGCTATATGAGGGAGATCAAGATATGCAAAGGAGTTTAGCCCCTAAAATAAGACGTTAAAGAAGGTTTGTGCATGGGCCATAGTCTCAACTCCCTATGGGCATTAGATCACTCTCATGTGCTTTTGCTCTCGTACTTAAGTAAAAGTTTAGAAAGCCAGACAGATGCTACAGTGGTGAAGATGTAGTCTTTGGGGGGGATGCCATGTCTGTAGACACTGATCACTCTACTAAGTGTCTTTGGAACAGAGGAGAGTCATCTGACACCTCTTGGCAGCAAGGGGACCCACCATAAACTTTCCCAGACAAAGGGAAGTCCTTGAGTAAGTCAGACAGGAAAGAGTTCTTGGGCACAATGGACAGAATTGCAGAGGCATGAGCCGGAGGCATGTCTGTAGCCCTACTAGTTCCCTGCAGCTGGAGTGGAGACTGGAAAGCTGAAAGGCAAAAAGTGGAACTGGATCATGAAGGACCTTAAAAGAAAAAAATGTGTAAATTGTGATAAATAACCTGAAAATGCTTTGCACAGAGATGTATGAAGTAGTTTTTAGTAATTGTGCATTGGAAAATGTTAGAATAGAACTCGGCATGCTTTTCTGTTTAATGTGAATTAAAGCAGTAGGTGCCTGCGTGTCAGACAGACAGTGCAGACGATGAGGCAGGTCTGGAGCATCGCAGGGGATTCTTAGCAATCTGGAGAAAAGCCTTCCCAACCAGGAGCATTCGCGTTCAGTTATGGTGTTTTTTTAGTAATTGGCCAAATACCTGCTACCTGATTCTGTCCAAAAGCTACAAGTTTACAGTTTTTCCTTTAAATTTCCTGGATATTATCATCTTTCTTCCATTACCTATATTTCTTTCTTGTTATATACACAAGGGATCTTTACAAGTCATAACAATGGAAATCGAAGGCAAAGAAAAGGAAAGGACCAAGTCAGCCAGAAAGTTTGAAGGAGAGAAGCAGTCTTATTTCTCATCTTTTCCATGTGCTTTTATTTTTTCAGGTTTCTTTTAGCAAGTGTGCTGTATATATTTTAATTGGTATATCATGACTAATATTTTTAAATGCTATTAGTGCTATACTAAAATATAATTTAAAATAATTCTGGGACTTTTAAAGAGATTTTGTGAAACCTTTGTCTAAAAATAATAAAGTTTTTTAAAGATGATGTTATTAGTCAAAGCTTAACTCATTCACTTAAAGCTGTCGGCAAATTTAAGGGCACTGGCACTCTTGTAACTTGGCCAAACGGAAATAAAGGCCTTTAATATGTTGGGAAAACATGGTTTCTTGGAAACACTAACTGAAAATTAGAACTTGTGGGTTTCTACTTTGTTATTGTATAAAGATAGATTTTTCTTAGTAATATGTGTCTTTCAGACAATTGGTGCAACCTTTGCAGCCATGATTGGAGCTGGAATGCTGGTACAATCAATACCTTATGACCGGAGCCCAGGCCCAAAGCATCTTGCTTGGTTACTGCATTCTGGTATGTTCTAGTTTTCAGTTGTTATTAAAAAAATCTTGAATACTACCTTTGAGGTGGCTTTTCACAATCATAAATGCTTTGTACATAATTTAGTTAAGCTTCATGTTTAGAAAACACTTGTAATTTTCTACTTACTACTGTTTATATACTAAGACCAGGGACATCCCCAGTATTACACTTGCCTCCTGTATAGTCTAGTACATGCAGAGATTTTCTTTTCTGTGTTTCATCTAATACCAGGAGGATTTCAGACCTGATACCCATCATTTGAGAATTGTTTATATTGTGTATCTTTAAAAAAATTAAAATGGTGAAAAGAAGAAGAAGAGGAGGTTTTTGCAGTGCAGTATTTCAAGAAAGCAGTCAAAAAACTGTTTGGAAATACACGTTTGTGTCTGATGCGTTTAGGATAGTTCTTGGCACAAGGTAACATTGGGCAGCAAAGGCTGTCAGCCGTGCTGTTGCAGGGCAGTTTTCATATCCTTGTAGGTAGATGTAGTGAATTTTTTCTTAATTGTTGCAAGACAAATATTTGAAAGTTCAGACAAAGTTTTCTGCCTCAAGTTTCCTGGAATAGTTTGTTTCTAGGTTGAATAAAGAGCCAACCAGACTGAGAAACAAAAATGCTTAGGTGCATGTTTTCTACCACAAAACAAGACATTGTATAAACATTTCCCTGAAATTTCCAGGGAAACAGACTCTGAAGTGTTCTAGCATGGTTAGTAAATGAAAATCAGGTTTTTGGCACTCAGTAACAACTCTGGGGTGAAATATGTAATTTATATGATTCCTATGCTATCTTTATTTTGCTAACTATGAGACAGCATGATTTCCCAACCTTGTTTTCAAGTCTCTTGGGTGTTAGATTATTCTATCATAGATGTTCTCCCTGGAGCTTTGCAGGAAAAATCACTGGTTGGGAGGGAGATGGTCCCTTTTCTTCTATTACCAATGACCTGCTTTTCAGAAAAAAATTATTTAGAATACTAGAATGTGCATTTGTTAATAAGACTTTCATTGAATCACCAAAATTCTCGCCATCTGAATTTTAACATTTACATTTATGTTTCTAAATCTCTTGGCTACTGAGTAATTTTGCACCTGTTTCCCATTTTAGACAATGAGTTCCTTGAGAAAACAGGGTTAGTGTCTTTTTATCTCGGATAAATAGGCAAGAGGCAGCCAATCAGTAATTCTCATCATTGATTTCTCCCTCTTCCCTTCTAACTCTCTCCCCCTCTTCCCTCTGTCCTTAGTCCAGTGGTTCTCAACCTTGGCTGCACATTAGAATCACCTGGGAATCTTTTTAAAATCCTGATTTCTGGGCCTCATCCCCCAGAAATTCTGTTTCTTTGTTATGGGGTGGGGCCACAACATTAGTAACAAAGAAACAGAATTTCCGGAGGATGAGGCCCAGAAATCAGGATTTTAAAAAGATTCCCAGCTGATTCTAATGTGCAGCCAAGGTTGAGAACCACTGCCTTAGTCTCTTAGTCACTTGTTGAATTGAATTAAGCATTTCTACCTGCTTTGCTTAAAAAACCCCTTTTAATCTGATGTCATTGTAGCATATAAATTACTTGAGTGGGTATTTTTTTTTAATATGTTTTATTGATTTTTTGCAGAGAGGAAGGGAGAGGGAGAGAGAGTTAGAAACATCGATGAGAAAGAAACATCGATCAGCTGCCTCCTGCACACCTCCCACTGGGGATGTGCCCGCAACCCCGGTACATTCCCTTGACCGGAATCGAACCTGGGACCTTGCAGTCTGCAGGCCGACACTCTATCCACTGAGCCAAACCGGTTAGGGCTTGAGTCGGTATTTTATGTGTGTTGTGGGGGTGGGGTCCTTAAGACCACTAATTCACTCAGCAATTGTTTAGTACTCAGAGGTGAGGTTTATTACAATGAAAGGATGCACAACTGAATCAGCAAGGGGGAAAGATAAAGGCAGAGTCTGGAGTTGGAGAACTACATGATCTTTCAATGCTCTCCTTCTTGGGGGGGCACACCAAGAATGGGAAAAGAGGAGGAACGTGTAGTTTTTCTGCCCAGGGAAGCCAGTAGAGACTCAGTGTCTAAGGTTTTTATTTTTAGTTTATTTATTTATTTATTTGTAAATATATTTTTATTAATTTCAGAGAGGAAAGGAGAGGGAGAGATAGAAATATCAATGATGAGAGAGAATCACTGATTGGCTGTCTCCTGCATGCCCCACACTGGGAATTAAGCCTGGAACCCAGACCTGTGCCCTGACCAGGAATCAAACTGTGACCTCCTGGTTCATAGGTCAATACTTAACCACTAAGCCAGACAGGCCAGGCCCAAGGTTTTTATTGAAAGCTGATCATGTAGGCACCCTCCCAGCAACTATCAAAAACTAGACTCCCTGGGCCTAAGCCAGCAGGTGGTCATCCCCCGAGGGATCCCAGACTGCGAGAGGGCACAGGCCGGGCTGAGGGACCCCCCCTCTCCCCCCACCAAGTGCACAAATTTTTGTGCACCGGGCCTCTGGACCTATATAATAAAAGGCTAATATGCAAATCGACCGAACAGCAGAAAGACTGGTGGCTATGACACGTGCTGACCACCAGGGGGCAGACCCTCAATGCAGGAGCCGTCCCCTGGTGGTCAGTGCACTCCCACGGGGGAACACCGCTCAGGCAGAAGCCGTGAGCCAGGCTCACGGCTGGCGAGCGCAGCAGCCGTGGTGGGAGCCTCTCCCGCCTCTGCAGCAGAGGAGCGGGCCTAAGCCATCATTTGGACATCCCCCGAGGGCACGAATTTCATGTACCAGGCCTCTAGTATTATAAAGCAACTTATATAGTGAGAAAGCAGTGGTTGGTGGTTCTTCTTTTTTTTTTTTTTTTTAACTTTTTTTATTTTAACACTTGGAATGCGGGTGAATTTCCCGCCAAAATATAAGATGGCTCTGTCTTTTGGTTTTGTTCCATCCACCAAAAGGGTGGATTACAAACAAATATTTGGTAATACGCAGTTACAATCGGCCCGAGTTTACACGCTTCCCGCACTCCACCGCAAATCTATATGAACCGAGTTAAAGATGGCTCCTGCGGAGTACACGCAATTCACGCGAGCCGACTTAACTTGTTTCCCGCACTCCAAGTGTTAACAGAGGAAGGGAGAGGGATAGAGAGGTAGAAACATCAATGAGAGAGAAACATCGATCGGCTGCCTTCTGCACGCCCCCTACTGGGGATGTGCCTGCAACCAAGGTACATGCCTTAACCAGAATCAAATCTGGGGCCCTTCAGTCCGACCTTCCACTAAGCCAAACCGGTTAGGGCTGGCTGTTTGTTCTTCACAGGGATTGGTTATAATAGAATTTTCTGCAGTTACCTCCTATCAGCCTGGGGAAACAGTTCAAATTTTGCTAATGACTTCTAGAGGCATAAGCAGGAAATGACCCAGGTCAAGTTAATCTTGTAAAATAAACTAAATTGAGCTTTATTTTTATGACTAAACTGGTTTTATCTGCCTAGGGAACGTTCACATCTAGTCTCCATTTGTTTATTTTAATGTCACCATGTTGTACATTAAATCCTCAAACTTGTTAATCATAGAACTGGAAGTTTATATTTTTTACCAATAGCTCCACAGTTCCCCCATCACCCCCAACCCCCTACCCCCAACCCCGCAAACACCTGGTAACCACCAGGATACTCTCTGTTTCTCTGAGTTTGACTCTTGGATTCTACGTATAAGTGAGATAATACTGTATTTTTCTTTCTCTGTCTGACTTATTTCACTTCGCATATTGCCTTCGAGGTCCATGTATGTTGACAAAAATGGCAAGATTTTATTTTTTATGATTGAATAATGTTCCATTGTATATGTATATATTTTTACCCATTTATCCATTGATGGACACCTAGGTTTTTTAATCTTGACTATTGTGAATAATACTGCAGTGAACATGGAAATGTAGCTATTTCTATGAGATCCTGATTTTAATTTCTTTTGATATAAACCCAGAAGTGGGATTGCTGGATCATATGGTAGTTCTGGCTATAATTTTTGAAGAACGTCCACACTTGTTTTCTACAGTGGTTGAACCAATTTGCTGAATTCCTGTTTTCATTCACAATAATGATGAGCTATCCTTGTTAGTTTTATAATTGATTTGTCCTTAAGCAGCACACAGCTATAACCACTTAAGATTTTTATGAGAAAGTGTCATTGAAAAGTCTCTGAACAGTCTCCTTAAAAGTTTTGATAAAAATTTTGCTATCAAATGTAAAACTGATGGAAATCCCAACAGAAATATTATACAGAAGAATTTTTATTTAGTATCTTTTCCTAGAGCAAAAAATATTTTAAAGTTATTCATCATGAAATACAATTAATTACCTTACTACTTGATCTAGAAATGTTATTCTCACAAAAGGAACACACTAGTATTGAAATTTTAGTATGAAGACAGCTCTGTGCCTATTCTGTGAGTTAAACTATACACATCTAATGTTTAAGAAAGGGGTAACTTGTCCTACTCACCACTGAAATAATGCCTTATCTAAGATTCATTTGTTTGTTTGTTTATTTATTTATTTTTGGTTAATTCTCACCTGAGGGTATTTTTTCCATTGATTTTTAGAGAGAATGGAAGAGAGGTAAGGGGGAGGGGAGAGAGAGACACATTGATAGGTAAGCCTCCTGCACATGCGGGCCTGTAACCCAAGTACATGCCTAGACCAGGAATCGAACTCGGACCCTTCAGTCTGAGGGCCAAGGCTCTTACCACTGTGCCAGACTGGTCAGGGCAAGATTTATTTTTCAGTTGAATTCTATTTACTTGGTTAATTATATTGATAACTTTCACTGTAATTTTATGAGGCTGTTTATAATGACAACTTAAATTACTTTTTACAAGTTAAGATTTCATTCCTTATTACACAATGTAACAGCAGTGTCCTTGAAGTTTCTACATTTTAAAAATACATATTTTTTTATTGATTTCAGAGAGGAAGCGAGAGGGAGAAAGAGAAAGAAACATCAATGATTGGAGAGAACTATTGATCAGCTACCTCCTGCATGTCCCCTACTGGGGATCAAGCCCACAACCTGGGCATATGCCCTGATCGGGAATTGAACCGTGACTTCCTGGTTCATAGGTCAACATTCAACCCTGAGCCACATTTAAGATTAGCATAATATACTCATTTTCTCATCTTACTTTGTTTAAGACTAAAGTTAGGTTTGAATCCAAAAAATTAACTACAGCATGGAATTTGACAAAGTCACTAAAAATGTAGGTTAGTATTTGTACTTGTGAGTTGTGGCTGTTTGACTAGGAATAATGCTGCTGCTGTGATTTTAGAATCTGGATAGTCCCAAGTTTTGGTTGTAGGATTGTGGGGGTAGTGTTACCTAAATAAGGGGAAGGCTTTTCGTATCGTACTGTTTAACATAAGGTAAAATACATTCAAAGGCCATGTTAGAAATGGCATTTTCCCTTTGGTTGTTTAGTAAAAACCACTTGCTTTCTCTAGGTGTGATGGGCGCAGTGGTGGCTCCTCTGACGATATTAGGGGGGCCTCTTCTCATCAGAGCTGCATGGTACACGGCAGGCGTCGTAGGTGGCCTCTCCACTGTGGCCATGTGTGCACCCAGTGAGAAGTTTCTGAACATGGGAGCACCCCTGGGAGTGGGCCTGGGCCTCGTCTTTGTGTCCTCACTGGGTAAGCCACTGTGCTTTGACAGTTGGTTCTTGGTTCGTGATGTACCAAAATCATCTTATGTACTCAGGTTTCCTACTGGGGGGAATATATTTGGTCATTTTTTAAAGTTGGTTAAAAGATCTGTGCTAATTAGACTGGATTTTCTTATTTGGCATCATAGCAAATCATTACTATTGGTTTACCAAATGCACCTAAAATGGCTAAGTTGGTCTGCAGAACATGAGCATTGCTCTGATGCAAGAGCCTTCCTGTAATGTGGGTAAGCCACCCTTTGCAGAAATGAGTATCATGGGTTTTGAATTGTATGTATATAAAATTAGACCATGCTTATAACTGAGATGCTTTTTTATGTTGGTATACCAAAGAAAAAATTTAAAAATAGCATTAACTATATATATAGTTAGAGAAAAGTCCCTGTTTTAAAATAACCTTTTTTCCCCGTTTTGATTTCAGGATCTATGTTTCTTCCACCTACCACTGTGGCTGGTGCCACTCTGTACTCGGTGGCAATTTATGGTGGATTAGCTCTTTTCAGCATGTTCCTTCTGTATGACACGCAGAAAGTCATCAAGCGTGCAGAAATAGTGCCAGTGTATGGAGTTCAAAAATATGATCCCATCAATTCGTAAGTAGTCTTTAATGTCTTTGTTATATAAAGACATTTGTTTCATTTTGTCCTGTTTTATGATTATATTAGTTTCTTAGGGCTGCCATAACAAACGGTACAAACTGGGTGGTTTAAAACAAGAGAAATGTATTCTCTCACAGTTGTAGAAGCTAGAGGTCTGAAATCAAGGTGTCCTCAGCGTTGGCACCTTCAGAGGCCTCTGTGGGAGGGTCTGTTCCTTGACTCTCCTGCCTTCTTGGCAGAGCCAGCATTCCTTGGCTTGTAGATGCATCACTCTGACCTCTCTGTCTGCACACGGCGTTCTTCCTGTCCTGTCTGTTGCTGTCTCTCCTCTTCTTATGAGAACGGGAGTCATATTTGATTAAGGCCCACCCTACTCCAGTATTCACCTCAACTCACATCTTAATTATATTCGCAAAGATCCAGCGGCACTCCCAAATAGAGTCACATTCACAAATAACCAAGGATTAAGACTTGGACATACCTTTTGATTTCAACCCACAACAATGGCTTTGTCAGATTTTACTATTTTATTTCTATTGCTGTTTGGTCTATTCTCTCTCTAGTAAGCTGTGTATCCATAGAAATTTTATTCTGTTGCAACTAAGTAATATTTAGGTATTCAGTTAATTCAGAATAATTAGCCTGATGGTGTTCTTGTTGGCCAATTAATTTTAATATTTAATAGACTTTAGAACTGAAGAAAAGATGTATTAGTTGGGTATTCATTGGAAAGTGTAAATAATTGACTTGAAATGTCTAATCGAAAAGACTTTTACTAAAAATTAGAAATACCTTAGTATGGAAATTTCATTTGGAGATATTCAAATTTAACTGATATTAGGTGTTACATAATAATGCTTTTTTCCTTTTCTCCACCAAAGTAGGTTATTTTATTAAGCAATTTTCTTTGAGTTTCATGGTGTTACCACATATTTTTAAAGTAACTTACTTTTTAAAAATATTTTTTATTGCCTCCTACATGCCCTTCCCTCCCACCACTCGGGGCCGGGGGGGTGGGGGGGTGGGGGGGGGTGTCTTGAGCCCGCAACCTGGGCATGTGGCCCTGACTGGGAATCTAACTGTGACCTCCTGGTTCATAGGTTGACACTCAACCACTAAACCATGCCAGGTGGGCTAAAGCAATTTTTTTAAATTATCTTTGTTGGAGTGATACTGGTTAATAAGACCATATAGGCTTCAAGTGTACATTTTTATAATCCACTAGAGGCCGGGTGCACAAAATTCGTGCACTCTGTGGGGGGGGGGGGGGGTTTCCTCAGCCCGGGCTGCACCCTCTCGCAGTCCAGGAGCCCTCAGGGGATGTCCGACTGACAGGTTAGGCCTCCTCCCTGTGAGTCTGGCTTCCGGCTGAGCGGCACTCCCCCTGTGGGAGCACATGGTCTTTCCACCGTTCAGTCAATTTGCATATTAGCCTTTTATTATATTGGATGATCTGTTTATTGAGTGGTGCACCCACCATGCAAAGTCAAATCATCTTCTGTCACCATATACTTGGCCCCTTTACTCTCTGCCCCCCTCTGGTAATCACCATCCTATTGTTGGTCTGTCTCTGAGTTTCAGTTTTAGATCCCTCATATTAGTGAAATCACATGTTTCTTAGCTTTTTCTGATTGATTTATTTCGCTTAGCATGATATTCTCAAGGTCCATCCATGTTGTTGCAAATGACAGTATTTCACCTTTTCTTATAGTTGAGTAGTATCTCATTATGTACTAGTATATGTACCACATCTTTACCCAGTCGTCTACCAAAGACACTGGTTGTCTCCATGTCTTGGCCACCATGAATAATGCTGCAGTGACCATAGGGCAGCGTATATCTTTATGAATAAATGTTTTAGAGTTTTTCAGGTAGATGTTGCTAGGTCATATGGTAACTATTCTTAATTTTTCGAGGAACCGCTATACTGTTTTGCATAGTGGCTGCATTCCTACCAGCAGTGAATGAGGGTTCCTTTTCCTTCACAACCTCTCCAACACTCGTTATTACTTGTCTTGTTGATAATAGCCATTCTACCAGGTGTGAGGTGGTATCCTATTGTAGTTTGGATTTGCATTTCACTAATAGTTGATGAAGTTGAATCTTTTTTCATATATCTGTTGGTTGCTTATATGTCTTCTTGGGAGAGGTGTTTGTTGAGATCCTTTGCTCATTTTTCAATTAGGTTTTTTGTCTGGTGTCCCATGTACAAAAATTAATTCAGGATGGATTAAGACCTAAATATAGGATCTGAAACAATAAAGTACATAGAAGAAGGCATGGGTACTAAATTTATAGACCTTGGTCATAGAGAACATATCAGGAATTTGACCCCAAAGGCAAGGGAAGGAAAGGCAAAAATAAATGAATGGGACTATATCAAACAAAAAAGCTTCTGCACAGCAAAAGAAACTGCCGACAAAACAAAAAGGCAATGAATAGAAATGGGAGATGATATTTGCAACCGACAGCTCCAACAAGGGGTTAATATCCAAAATATATAAAGAACTCATACAACTCAATTTATTTGTCTTTTTTTTTTAATACTAAAACTGTAATGATGGTTTTTAAAATGCTGCTATAATGCTTACAGATTCATAACAGTTTCTTTGGATGAAGGGGGAGTAGGGCCTTAAGGGAAGGGTATATTATATTTAAAAATGCCAGACTTGTGTCTAACACATTTTTGTAAAGGTGTTTCTTTGGTTTTGTTTGATTCTTGTATTGTCCTCCCTCCCACCCCCCCATCAAGATATTATACTTATAGTAGAGTATTAGAGGATAAAATAATGATTTTTAAACTGCTCATTGCCATTTAAAAGATTAATCTACCAGAAGAAAATCTTGACTATTTTCTTGTCGAGGACTTCCTTAGTTGGCATATCTTGTTTTAAAATGTTCATCTTATATACCTAAGTTAAATAATCAGTATTGCTTTTTCTTCTTTCCTAGATTAAGAAATAGTTGTTGTCATTGTTATTAGAATTACATACTTAAGCAGGTATTATTTTCTTTTCTAGGATGCTGGGAATCTACATGGATACATTAAATATATTTATGCGAGTTGCCACTATTCTAGCAACTGGAAACAGCAGAAAGAAGTGAAGTGACTCCGCTTCTGACATCGTTAATGCGTCAGATTCCTCCTGGCTTGTCTAGTAGGGCAGGTATTCATTAAGTAGTTTATTGAAGCAGCTTTTGTTGAAGTTTAGAAGATAAGAACTTGTCATCATGTTTGAAATGTCCCAGTAATGTGATCCTTCAGGTCTGCTTTTTCTTCTAGAGAATAAATTCAGTAGTTCTCTGCCAAATAAGCGCACCCGTGTTCAGTTCTCATTTTTGAGTGATTCTGAAATGTTTTAATGAACGTGAAAACTGAGGTTTGTGTTGTGAGAATTTTAAGTGTTTTATCTTAAATTTGTTTTGTTTTGTTTGTTAAGTAAAAATTAGCAAACTTATGTTTACCTGTTTAGATTTTGGAATGCATAATATTAACAAGTAATGTCATGAGTGGCATGGAGGTTTGGTAAAGGGACCAGAAAGAAAGAAAGGGTCACCTGCAGCTTTTCTTTGAATACTGGCTTTAGGACTTGCTATTTGGAAACAAGTCATCACTTTAGTATTTCTCTCCTGAGCTTACGAAAGCATTGAGCACAAAACAAAGGCATAGGTGATAAAATTTCCTGCTGTTCCTTTTCAAGCCTCTTTCCAGTGTAGATGTGACCATGTTGGCTTCTCATTGTTTGACATTGTTAGGATACTCCAGAATTGTAATCATATGGAGAATTCCTAGTATAAAATACGTGTATGTGCAAGCTTTACTTTTGAATATTCTAGAACAAAATATTCCTTAAAATACATTCTCAGGATAAAATATTCAAAGTATACAAACAATTGCTGAATTTTTTGCATATTTATTGAAATGTTTAATAGAATACATGCTTGTTTTTTTTTCACCTCTTCAACTTTTGAAGCTTTATTAGAAAAACCTGTTGTGGTTTACACTGTGAAAGGAGTTTTTCTCCTGAGACTTGGTTTCTCGTGTTCCCTCTCAGATGAAGCACTAAAAGAAGGAAAGCAAAGCTACTCTTTCTTCATGGAGTACATCAGTCAGAATTGTAATGGGCAGAATTTTCCTTCTCTCCTTCATAGACTGTTCCTAAACTCTCTTGTGACATTTGTAAGTGTTTGAGAACAGAAGAGTTATTTTTGGAAGTTCTTAATGAATGAAGTAAGTGTGTATGATTATTGAGATGATTGGTGTGTTTGACAAGAATTTATTACAGTAATCCAGAAAAAACTATTCTAACCACATCAAGTTACCGAGGACACTTATTTTTGAAATATTAAAGGTTCCGATGTTGATTGGTCTGTAATTTTTCCAGCTGAACCATATGCATATTTTTTGAATAGGGGATTTGTTCAAGAAAGCAGCTTATTCTCTTCCCAATATAGTATATATAGTGCAGTGTGATTACGATCATGCACTGACAGCTGGACTTACTTCCTACATGACCCAGGCATTACTTCACGGCACTGTGCCCATTTGCTCATCTAAAATGAAGAGGACAGCAGAGCCCACCTGCAGGTGACATGTGCTGTCACTTCGTAAACACTGGGCATTTTAGCTAGTGGTTTATTTGTTTTTGTTATTTTCCCCCTGAGAACAATTCTATTTTTTCCTACTTTGCTTCTGGTACAATGTTAGTGTGTCCTTAAAGTGAAATCTTAAAGGTCCTTTTGTCTTCAGTCACATTTTGGAGCCCAGAGTTTATATCTTTATGCTTGGATGGTATCACACACACAAAACAAACTATAATTTTAAGCATGGCTCTTAGGCAGAAGCTAATCCAGGAAATCAAGGGTGTTGGTTTTTTAGTGACCTAGTTTTTTACTTTTTCTGAATTTGCTAAGACAGTGAAGACCTTTCATTAAAAACTGTCTACCATGCTAGCTGGCCAGGGGAGGCACATCTCCGTGCAAACAGCCATTGTTTGTTATGGTGTCTATACGAGAGCAAAGGACTGAGTTTCCAAGCTGTCCCAGGAGGAAGGCTTCAAGTACATACAGTAGTTACAGTGCGCAAAACGGGCATTTCATACAGCAGGAGGATGACGGAGGAACATGGAGAAAGATGGCAAGAAATGAGAAGTTCCCTTGAAACCTGGTTTCCTGCTCACAACGTATGTTCTGTGCTTAGAACACTGACCCCTTGGACTTTTTTGTGCTCTTTGAAGTGTTAGCATCATGTTTCCTTTAAAATTGTTCATCTGTATAGAATGTGTCCACATTGGAGTTCCTGAAACTAAATGATACCCAAGATTTGTATCATCCCAGTAGTCTGGAGAGGCTGGGGTGTGTGTGTGTGGTAAGCCCTTTGCACAAATGATAACCTTTCTTTGAACTAGGTGCTGCTTGCTGTCTTCATTTTGCAAAGGAGTACACTGAAGCCCCCAGGTTTAATTTTTGTAACAAGATCATATGGCTGGGAAGGAGAAAGTGGTAGGGTTGAATGATCCTCCTAACCTGTTACACTGGGAAGTTTGTGATGAATGCCATAGGGCTGGAATCCTATTTGAGAATCAAAAGCACTGTACCAGTTAAATAGGCAGGCTGGGAGTCTATTGAACACACCCAGGACGCCAGCATTCTAGTGTTTATCAAAAGGAATTGACCTCGGTCAAATGGTGGTGATGCTTTACTTCCTCAGGTTCTATTTTTTTATTTTATTGATTTTTTACAGAGAGGGATAGAGAGTTAGAAACATCAATGAGAGAGAAGCATCGATCAGCTGACTCCTGCACACCCCCTACTGGGGATGTGCCCACAACCCAGGTACATGCCCTTGTCCGGAATCGAACCCGGGACCCTTCAGTCCACAGGCCGACACTCTGTCCACTGAGCCAAACCGGTTAGGACTCAGGTCCTATTTTTTATAGAGTATCAGAAGTTCCAGTGCACTTGGAGCTACAAATCAAGCCTTTTTTTTTTTTTTTTTTTTTTTTTTACAGAACTAGTGTATCTTAAAATCAGTGGCATTTTAGAACTGAAGAAATGCAGTGTTTTCCAGTGATTTGTTTTCCATAATTTCCCAAGAGTTCATTATTCTGTAAGAACAGGTATCTAAAGGATAATCATGGTAATTGCCAATAGCAATGAACTTTTCCTGATGATTCAGAGGGAATCTTTCACAAGACAGTACTAGCCTAGCCCCACCCTGCTATGTGTCTCATAAGGCTTGAATGCAGAACGACCCAAACAGGAAGACCAGTGGAAGCTGAGAGCATGAATGATTTGGTTTGATCTGACTTTGTTAGGAAGAGTCAGGGATTTGTTAGGTTGGTTCAGTTTGGTGCTTCCTGAAAGAACTAACTCAGCACCAGCTGTGGGGAGAAACATGAGTCCTTGTGTCTGCCCTGTCTGCCCTGCCATCAGGCCATCGAGAAGACAGGCATCTGATGGGCAGAGGCAGGGTGGCAACAGGAGAGAGCGAGCGGGAGGAGGCCAAGGTGCTGCTGGCTAAGAGCAGGGGGTGCTGGAGCCGGAAGCCCCTAGGATCAGTGGGGAGTTTCCGGCACAAACACACCTGTCAATCACCAAAAGTCCCTCCTTAAGAGATAAGTCATCAGATATATATTAGATGCTGTATTAGATACCATGCCGTGAAAATGTGAGAAACAGCAACGAATGACCCAAGGTAGTTATGAAATAGTTATCTAGAAACTCAAATGCATAATCCAGACTGAATGCTGCAGGAGTGCAGAGCAGGGACAGGTGTGTCAAATGCCCACAGGAAGGCAGGTTTCCCCCACATCCTGCAGAGGGCTGGTGGCTGGAAGGAGCTTTCTGCTTTGGTGGGAAGGGAATGTCTGGGACACCCCCACACACAGCATCATGGGAAGTATCCTGACCTACCTGGCAGAGGACCCAACCTCTGCCAACACACCAAATGTGCCCGTGACTCTGTGTCTCAGGTTGTGTCACCCTCGCCGTCCTGGGTGCCTCAGCAAGGGAAAGTATGTGATCACCTACCTCTAAGTAGAAGGCATTTAAAAAGAAGTTGGAAAAATTATGGCAGGGTCTTCACTGTTAATTCTAAGTGGCAGGGAAAGGGGCACTTGGTAGGAAAATGAGGTGTTGGTTGTATTTTCCAGTATATTATAGCAAGGAAAGTACATATGGTGAGAAAGTCCATTGAAACATACTTTTCAAAAGAACCATGAAAGCAGAACATCTCCACCCTGAGGCCTTGGCATGTCTCATCTCCAAGTGGAACTGGACCCAGAGCCTTCAAGGTGCTTGTAGCCCTGACAGGCTGTTTGCAGTGAGCCCAGCGTTGAAGTTTCCCCAGGACTGCCGAGCCCTGGCCGCACCTCAGACATCACCCTGTCCCTGTGGTGCCAGGTGGGAGGGTGGGGATGGGAAAAGCTGACACTTATTTTCTGGGAAGCCTGCTGTCAACCCTGCAAGTCAGAGACCAGACACTGACAGGATCCATCCCAGCCAGCTCCAGGGGCTGGCAAAAGCAGAGACTTTGGCACCCCCTTCTCCCTGCGGCCCACGCCTCATGCTTGCTCTACGAGTTCTCCCTTCTCTGTCAGAATCCACAGCTGTGAATGGTGCTGGCACCCGCCATTTAGGCCTGAATTTTAGTGGGGATTTTTTTGTCCTGAATTGTGGCAAGAAAACACAGTCATTGCTCTACACGCATGTCAAACTTGCGGCCTGTGGGCCGCATGCCTCATTTATTTAAACAAGGCATGGGGCCTTCCGGCCGCAAGTTTGACATGCTTGCTTTACATTGAAGAAGCACTATACATCCTTGGACATAAGTGGGGGTTGCTATTTTTTGGAGACAGGACAGGTAGCACCCCACTTCCAGCAATCAACCACCTAATAAGAAAGATTATCTTCAGATACCAGGATGCGTTAGCATTGCACTCTCTTCAAAAGGATCTGTTCCTCTCCAGCCGCAGCTGCTGTTGTAGTTCTCAACAGACACTAAGGAACAGGACAGCTGCGCAGCTGTTCCAGGGCCGCTCAGTGGCAGAGTTCTGGTTATCCATGCAGCCCAAGGCCCCAAAGAGGTGCTATCGGACAGCCCAAGTCAGAGGGAGAGGCCTGCCCCCACCTCAGTTCTCTTCATGCTCCTATAAATGAATTTAAATGAGGGACTCTAGATGATGAAATTGTGATAAAGCTAATTTATTAAAGCATGCACATTTATCAGAGAAGCAAGGCAAGCAAACCTATCTGGCTTATGCAGCGCAGACAGGCGCTCAGCTAATCTGCAGAGCAGGTCGGGTGGGGTGTCGG